ACCAGAGACTTAAAGAAACTAAACAAGCTGATCAAGAAAGCTGGTTCTGTGCTGGGGATAACTCTGAAACCACTGGAGCTGATTGTTCAAAAAAGAATGCTGCACAAGATGAAGATGATGGAGGATTCTTCCCACCCTCTCCACAACACAGTGAAGAATCAACAGAGTGTGTTTAGTGGGAGGCTGCGTCAGCTTCCCTGTCGAACGGAGAGATACAGAAAGTCATTCCTGCCAACAGCCATCACCTTGAAAAACAAATCTGACTGACTGACAATTGACTGACTGAATGATTATTATTTTTGTTTTATAAAATACATGTTATATTGATTTAAAAAAAAAAAGAAAAAAAAGTGAGCTTTTACAATATTGAATTTCTCTTCTGGGATAAATAAAGTATTTTTCTTTGCATATATATGCATAGCAAGTGCTAAACTTCTAGCACAAAGGAGCAGGATGTCATATAGTATAAACTATAAACTTACTAGAATAGTAGAGCATATACTTAACGTCTTTCAGAAGACTGATACATATGTCACTATGTCTTTTCGCTACATACAAACTTGACTTGACAAAGCGTTCCTGACACACTGCAACATTGCTGGGAAAATGTTCTGTGAACGAATGAGACTGAGGTTGTGCTGAACTGAGTTGTCCTGCTTTATCTACAGCTACTAGAAATCCTTATTTGAGGTTAATATTAGGAAGATTCATAGGTGTTAAGTCAAAGTGTTCACATAACTTTCCACTGGTACTAGGGATGTGCTTAATAAAAACATAAAGGATTATAATTGCTTTTGTGTTCGTAGTTTATGCAGAAAACAATGTGATTTAAAGTATTGCCACTGTATCCTGTCCTCATAAAACTAAATGAAGCCAAAAAACTGAGTCCTGTGTCTTAGACAAGTGATGTTTTCATTGTGAATGTGTGTGTGTGTGTGTGTGTGTCTGTGTGTATGTGTGTGTTTTAATATATATTGTGGCAAGAAAGAACATTCTTGATGGGTCACAACCTTCTCTGTGAAATTCTATTGCTTTCAACAGTGTTGCAATTTTTTCTGTAAATTGTTTTGGACTTGAACCAATTTCAGCTGCTGAATTCTTCAAGGCTCTGAAAAGCATAGAGTGCAAAATATCTGTCTCATACAATTTACAGCTATAAATTTCCAAAAAACAATATGCGGTTGAATGAAATTCCCAAAGCCTCTATTACTAATTTTAGTTATATTTGAGCTGTGTTGCCAAAGTGTACGAACACGTGAATATTTTATTTTAATTTTAAAGATGAAAGCCTGCAATATTAATAATCATTGCTGCCCTGGCTAAAGCCTTTGAACTACAAATTTGAAGCTGCAGTTAATAGAGGTTATTCTTTTATTCTCCTGGAATAAAGTCTCAGGCACAGTTCTGTGGTTGATGCTCGGCAAACAAACAAACATGAGGAATTACAGCCGTCTTGCTCCTCTTTACTTCAACCCCATTAGTGAGGAGTGACTGACACGAGCTAATGACTTTTACCTCATCTCTCTCAGTTGGTTGAATGGATTCATGAACAGATGGTGTTTGCTCATGTGACATGGAGATGAATCTGCTGACACATGAGCTTGGTAATGAATCAACATGAACCATATGATACAGGTGAAAGCTCTGGAAAAAAGCTAGAGAGTGGGCCTGCTTTATCTTTAACTTAACACACAAGAGAAGTCCTAAATAACTACTGTATGGATGAAATCATGGACACTACTGAGCTCACTCGGAAACGCATCCATCTCCATGACAACAGACTGCGTAAACTCCATCTGCTGATCAAGATCAAGTGATAAGGGTCAAAGGCAATTTTTAGGGCCCTGCATTGTGCCTCTTTTTTTAGCAAATTATTGAAAGTCTCACATGTTCTTGGAGTGTGTCCTAATTTTTCAGTTTAAAATGTCACTGCAAAAATGGTTTAATGTACCACAACTGTTGAAGTCCTGCTTAAGTGTGTGTAGCTTTAAATATAATTGAGCTGCTGTCTACAGTTACTTCAGGAAGAAGACTCTCTCTGCATCTGTGATTAATAGTGTGGAGCAAGATACTTGTCTGTACAGCTGCTGACAGACACGT